TGTGTGTGTGTAGGCGTGAGTGAGTTTGTGTGTGTAGGTGTGTTTGTGTGTAAGTGTGAGTTTGTGTGTGTATATGTGTGAGTGTAGATATGAGTATGAGAGAGTGTAGGCGTCAGTGAGGTTGTGTGTGTGCACGTGTGAGAAGGTGTGAATGCTTCTGTGAGAGTGTGTGCATCTATATATATGTGGTTGAGTGTGTACATGTGTGTCTGTGTGCATGTGTGTGCATGTATGACTGTGTCTGTGTGGGCGTATGAGTTTGTGTGCATGTGTGCAAGGTGTGTGCAGTGGTGAGAGTTCTATGTGTTTTTATTCCTCCAACTCTTGTCCCACTCCTGACCAAGTCCTTCAAGCTGCTGACTCAACAGGAACCAGAGTGAGAGATTCCCAATTGGCACATTTTTCAACAACCTTCTTTGCCCAACCCTGGACAGGTATCTGTTCAGCTCCTTTCTGTAAGTTAAGATGAATAAATCCACGGTTTGATAGAGTCAATTGCATGCCTGGGTTTGCAGCTTTAAACTGGAATGTATCATTCTACAGTGAGTCTTTGTTGAGGGATACATGTACAGTATTCCTGGCCCTCTACATTGTAAATGTCCACTTTGATCTTCACTTCTGTACCTGTTCTCTGTAGAAAGTTCTGGCACATTCTGTGCTGCAGCAACCAGCAAATGTAGTGTGTGGTGGTGAGTCTGAATTTGCCAATTCATTTCTCACAGGTGGAAGCAGTGGGGAGAGTAGCAGTCTCTGCCAATTCCTGTACCATCAGTTATTAGGGAGCGCAATGGTCAGTTGTCAGCCGGGGTGAGGTTCCTTGGACATGGTTCCATATTGACTGCAATTCCTATTCCACTGCGTTGAGTGGGCATGACAGCGACCTCTGTCCATTCATCTTTCTCTGGGTCATAACACTCCACACTGTCGAGAAAACCGTTCTGATTAAAGCCTCCTAGACAATTGAGGGAAGAAGAAATTACTTCAACCGGTAATGGTTAGAAATTGATGCAAACCAAATGGCTTGTGAGGCAAGAAGACTAACCAACTTGGATCTGAGACATATTACCAGAGAAAAGAGATGCCCTTTGACCCATTGTGTCTTTACTTACACAATCCTAAACTAAACATACTGCCATATAACCCTGTATTGATCCTACATAAATCCCACTGCTGTACGGCCTGCCCCAGCCCTGTATCAATTCCCAACAATTCCCACTGCCCCAATCTTGTCAGATATCAATTCCAAATTAATTCCACTGCTCAAGTCTCTCCCTATATTCTAAATCTTATTCTATCATGGTATCTACTTTGACCTCTCTGATGCAAAGTATTCAATGCTTTAAACTGATAACCTCTCATCGTCAAGAAGAGGCTTTCAAATGGGGTGGGTTTTTAAATTCGGCATTAAATTTCTCCCCAACTTTCTCTGCACCAGCACAATCATCATTCCCAGTATCTCAAGTCTCTTCTCATTTATATTAACAGTAAGTGCATTTAATCCTCTAGCTGCGGTTAACGTTTTGAAAATTTATCAGTCATTCCTAATGCTTGCACTTGATGCTCCAACTTCTCAAGCTGCTATGGTTTTACTTCTGACCTTATCATCCTGTGATCTCAGTCAAGAGGGATTTAAACATTGCTAGGAGACAAGAAGTCGAAACTATTCACCTTACTCTCATCAGAATGAAGATGCAAGAAACAGACGTGCAAGAAGGAACACCAACTAATATAGTATGAGGTGATGGTGCTGATTGGTGACTTTCGGAGCACTTAGCTGTCAAACTTACTTTTCGGACCAGGCAGGCAGAGTCTGATTCGCCAGGTTGTTGCCATGGGGACACAGCAGCCATTGGCAGGCTCTATGAACCCCTTTTCCAAGAAAATGGTGCAATTTAGGTACAAATTCCTTTTACCCACGTAACACAGGATACTGTATTTTAACATATCTAGCTTCTAGCACATGCAAATGGGAGCCCGAGTAATGATCTTGGATTGGTTTCCAATGTAACTCAGTCTGAATTATTTAGTAACAATTTCCAAAAACAGAATCACATCTAATGGTGGACATAACAGTATGATGTTTGTAAAAATCGGTTGCTTGAGCAAGTCAGTACGTTGTCCACTGCAAATGATCAATAGGGCACGTTGTTACACAGAACATAGAACATTACAGCGCAGTACAGGCCCTTCGGCCCTCAATGTTGCGCCGACCTGTGAAACCAATCTGAAGCCCATCTAACCTAAACTATTCCATTATCATCCATATGTTTATCCAATGACCATTTAAATGCCCTTAAAGTTGGTGAGTCTACTACTGTTGCAGGCAGGGCATTCCACGCTCTTACTACTCTCTGAGTAAAGAACCTACTTCTGACATCTGTCATTTGTTCAATTTGGTCCACCAATCACTGGACGTACAGTCCTCATACCTGGCACCACAATGGATTGAAACTCATATCACATTATTAGAAGGCAAAACATCTTTTTGGCTTGATGGCAGCATCCTGTTTGTGGAGAAAACCCAGCAAGGTGTTACTCAGCAGAGTGACACAGCTAGCTTCACCAGTTGTCCTCGGTTTTTTGGGACACATTTCTCTTCCAGGATAATCTGAAGTGGACTGTCCACCCGCTCAGGGTCACGAGCGGTGAACACAGGCCCTTCCGTGAATTTTTGCACGATACATTGAATGATGATTTGATCAAGGTATCCATTATCACACAGGATAGTATTGAAACACCTTATTTCAGTATTGAGCTTACACTCAATGTGCAGATTGCTAGAGCTGTATTCATCAGTTTTCCAATAAATTAATCATGTAGCGTGTGGAGCTGTAGAATCCCGACGTGTATATTGGCAAAGAACATAGGCTTGTGGTAGATGGTAATAGACAAAATCACTGGCAAACTTTGCAAGTAATACATTGAGGAAAGGAGACTCCTTTGATTGCTTCATTTCAATGGCACATTTGAGTGCATTGGAACAGGAGTAGGCCATTCAGCCCATCGAGCTTGTTCTGCTATTCAATGAGATCATGGCTGACTAACTCCATATATCTGCCTATATCCCTCAATATCTTAGCTTCTTTTTTGTTAAGCAATTTCAGATTTAAAATTATTAAGTTTATTATGCTGTGTAAAGAACGTCTCTCATGCAGATGCAGATTCAAATATCACAAATGTGTCACTTATATATCAGAAATAGAAGATTAATTTCTCACAATAAACAACAAACATGTTAATGCGATCTATTAGAGGCCTAAGGAGGATTCCAAAGCAACGCTGTCTATTTGGGTTTACTTGATGTAATTGAAACTGAACTTAACTGCACAAGTTTCATTCAATTAACCAAACTAAACAAACAAACAAAAAATTGGGATTTGTTTTCAAACTGACTTTTTTAAACGAGCCTATCAGAGTCCACAGGGAACAGCTGAGGTGTTTTCTAATCTAAATTTTAGACTGTTTTTTAACATTGCAAAGGATTTTGTTTTGAAAAACCAAACAGCTAGTTTTTAAAAACAGAACTCCTTATTTTTGTTTTGGGGAGTCCTACGCGTGGTTGGCTCTAGAGAAGATCTTTTTTCTTCGAGGAATTTATTAAAGAGGACCCTTCTTTTAAATTCAGTTAATTAGCTAAGTGGTTGATTTTATTTAAGTTTTATATTTTTGATGTATATATTTTTAATTTTTTCCATTTTAACATTATTTTCTGGAGGTAATGAAAGTAGTTTATTTTGTATACAAGGTGTTATTGAAAGTTCCTTATTTAGGCTTAATGTTAGTAAGGCCATATATGAGGTACAGAGTGAGATGGCTAGTAGATTTAGAAAGTTATTACACAGCAGAATCAGTTAGATGATGGGTGACTGTTGGGAAAGGTAATAAAAGTAGTTCAAAAGTCTCCAGTGCCTATTCTTCTATCAAATAGGTATTCAGTTTTTGGAATTGTAGAAGGGGAAAGTCTCTCTGAGGAAAATGGAAGGGCCAGTTATTGGACACTTGGAATGATTCTTATGTTAGGCAGCATTTGACAAGATTTAATAGAATTATTGTTATAGGGGGCCGTCCTGTCAGGAGAATAGACAGGAGATGGTACGGCAGTGAGTGTAAATTTGGGATGGTTTGTTGCTTTCCTGGTGCTAGGACTAAGGACATCTCTAAATGTTTCAAGCGTATTTTTAAAGGTGAGATTGAGAAGCCAGAAATTATTGTCTGTATTGGTAGGAATGCCATTTTTAGGGAAAAGATTAAAGCAATACAGAATGAATTTAAGAGGTTAGGTAGAAGATTAAAAATAGAACCTTCAAAGTAGTAATTTCTGGTTTACTCCCAATAGCTCAAACAAGGGAAGGAACAAAAGGTTAAAGGAGATAAATCAATGGCTGAAGAGTTGGTGTATTGTTCAGGGATTCAGGTTTTTGGACAATTGGAATGTCTTTTGGGATAGAAAAGACCTGTTCAAAATGGATGGGTCTAACCTAAACTGGAAAGGGACTAACATCTTAACAGGGAGATTCGCTCATTCCATTAAGGGAGACTTTATACAGAAAGAGCAGGGGAGTGGAGGAATTCTAAGTAGCAGCGTAAATAGAAGGATTGATGGAGAAGGTTCTGCATATGGGGAGAGCACATCAATTAGAAAAGAAAGACAGAAGAGAGTCATAGTATGTAGTAACTCTGAAGAACTAAACTGCATTTATTTCAAAGCAAGGGGTCTTACACGTAAAGCTGATAAACTCAGGCATATTTAAGAATATCGGATTGGGACATTATAGCTATTACAGAAACTTGACTGAGAGATGGCATCTCAAGATTCTGGGTTTTAGATGCTATAGCAAGGATAGAAAAGGAAGCAAGAAAGATGGGATGTGTGGCATTTTTGATTAAGGAATACATTACTGCTGTAACTAGGGAAAATATTCCTGAAAAATCATCGGGTGAAAATATATGGTTAGAAATTACAAATAAGAAAGGAAAGATCACTTTAATGGGGTTGTACAATAGAAACCCCAACAGTAGGAGGGAAATTGAGAAACAAATATGTAGGAAGATCTCAGATATATGTAAGCATAATAAGGTTGTAATAATGGGGGATTTTAATCTTCTAGACATTGACTAGAGCTCCCATGATGTTAAAGGTTTGGATGGTGAAGAATTTGTCAAACATGTTCAAGAATTTTTTTTTTAATCAATATGTGGATGCTCCTATTAGAGAAGGAGCAAAACTAGACCTTCTTTTGGGCAATAAGGCAGGACAGGTGACTGAAGTCAAAGTGGGGGAACACTCTGGGTCTAGTGATCATAATTCTATTAGTTTCAAAATGGTTATGGTAAAGGATAAGCCTTCCATAAAAATTAAAAGTTCTTTATTGGAGTAAGGCAAATTTTACTGCTATGAGACAAGAGCTTTCAAAAATTGATTGTAGCAGACTATTCGCAAGTAAAAGGTCGTCCAACAGTTGGGAGGCGTTCAAGAGTGTGATGACGAGAGTTCACAGGCGTTATCTTCATGTTAGACACAAGGGTAAGGCTGGTAGGATTAGGGAAAAATGGATGAATAAAGATATTGAGGCTCTAGTCAAGAATAAAAGAGAATCTTTTTTTAGATACAGACAACTTGGTTCAATTGAATCTCTTAGTCAACATAAAGAAAATGTGTGGGGCATTCTTAAGAAAGAAATCAGGAAGACAAAGAGGGGATATGAGATAGCATTGGCAGAGAAGGTTAAGGATAATCCAAAGAGACTCTACAAATACATTAAGAGCAAGAGGGTAACTAGAGAGAGGGTTGGGCCTCTTAAAAGTCAAGGAGGTCGTCTTTGTGTTGAGCCCCAGGAATGGGAGAAATATTAAATGAATATTTTGCATCAGTTTCTACTGTGGAGAAAGAAATGGAGTCTAAGACTACAGAGAAATAAACCTTGATCATGTTTTAAAAACAGTTTACATTACAGAAGAGGAAATTCGGAAGGTCTTAGAGAATATAAAGGTGGATAAATCTCTAGTCTAATGTATCCCGGAACTTTGTGGGAAGTAAGGGAGGAAATTGTGAGACCCCTTGCAGAAATATTTGCATCATCTATAACTACAGGTAAGGTGCATGATGACTGGAGGGTGGCTAATGTTGTACCTTTGTTTAAGAAAGGTTGTAAGGAGAAACCAGGGAACTACAAACCTGTGAGTCTGACTTCAGTTGTGGGTAAATTGTTAGAGGTGATTATAAAAGATAGGATTTATGAACATTTACAGATGCAGAAATTGATTAGGGATGGTCAGCATGGTTTTGTGCGAGGATAATGTGTCTCACAAACTTGATTGAGTTTTCTGAGACAGTCACCAAAAAGGTTGATGATGGCAGTGCAGTAGACATTATTTATTTGGGTTTTAGTAAAGCCTTTGACAAGGTTCCGCATGGTCGACTGATTAGTAAAGTTAGGACATACAGAATTCAGGGTGAGCTTGCCAATTGGATACATAATTGGCCTAATGGCAGGAGACAGGGAGTAATAGTGGAGGGTTGCTTTTTGGACTGGAGGCCTGTGACCAGTGGTGTTTCACAGGGATCAGTTCTGGATCCTCTTTTGTTTGTCATTTATATGAATGATTTGGATGAGAATATAGAAGGCATGGTTAGTAAGTTTGCAGATGACACCAAAATTGGTGGCATGGTAGACAGTGAAGAAGATTTTCTAAGATTACAGAGGGATCTTGATCAAATGGGTCAAAGATCTGAAAAATGGCAGATGGAGATCAATCTGGAGAAATGTGATGTATTGCATTTTAATGCAACATAAAGGGTAGGACGTTTACAATTAATGGCAGAGCCTTGGGTAATGTTGTAGAACAGAGGGACCTAGGTGTGCGGATTTAAAAAAGACATGAGGCAAATCTTTTTTTTTTACACAGAAGGTGGTTTGCATATGGAATGAACTTCCTGAGGAAGTGGTGGGGACAGGTACAATTATGTTGAAAAAACATTTGGATAGATACACGAATAGGAAAGGTTTGGAGGGATATGGGCCAGGAACAGGCGAGTGGGACTGGTTTAGTTTGGGATTATGTTCGACATGGACTGGTTAGACCGAAGGGTCTGTTTCTGTGCTGTATGACTGAGTTGCTCAGTTTGACGAACAGACATTGGTGCCATATTTAATTGCCAGAATACTGGAACACAGTGCAAATATGAATGGTCCTGGTCACAGCTGGAGTAATCATACACAAATGTGATTACTCCAATAGAGTGTTCACAGTGATGACTCCAAGTTTATACATCCAGGGTCCACCATGTCACGTGAGTGAGCAGCAACACTCGAGGACAAGATGCTGAGGCACTTGTTGGACTTGGAGAAGGACAGTATCATAGGGTTCTTCCTCACAGCCACTGTGTCCAAATATGTATCAGCTATCACAGATCCATAACAGTAATATCCCTTTATACCCTATTCTAGCTATGACTGACCTTGCACAATGTGAATTGGTGAAATGGTTGTGAGCAGTTGTAACTAGTTTTAAATGAGCTTTCTTCATACATGGTGAAGATTCCTTCACTTTTGTGATGATGATACAAGGTCTACAGAATGACAGCAATACCATGTCTGTGTAAACTTTGACATTGCTAGCTTATTTACCAATGTACCATGCAAAGAAGCCATTGGGATTTGAACTGCTGGTTTCTCCACTAACAGGTTGCTGCCATCGAGCTCACAAATAATAGGATATGAGTTTCAGTGCCAGCGTGATGCCAGGAATGCTGGCCATAATTTTGTTTTTTATTTTTATCGTATGTAAGTGTCACTGGCAGGACCAACATTTATTGTCCGTCCCTAGTTGCCCTTGAGAAGGTGGTAGTGAGCTGCCTTCTTGAACAGCTTCAGTCTGTGTGCTGTATAAATTGGTATTCCTTTTTACAAGTCTGTTTCTTACATCCTAGTCCTGTTGAGACAAAAAGCTTTGATGTCTTGTCTCCTTTAAACAAAGTTTAATTTCTGTACTACCAAAGCAATTATTTAAGGGAAATTGTATAATTAGCCATTTTGAACACCCCTATGTTCCCTGTTACCTCATACTTATTCCCATTAAACTGCACCTCTGATTCCAGACCCCAGGCTATGCTAATTTCACTGACAACAAATAATATATTCTCTAAACTTCACCATTACAAACTTATAAGATCTCTGGGCTTCTCCAGTTCTGGAATCTTGCACATTTCTGATCTCCTACTCACCATCATTGATGGCCATGTTTTAAATAGTCTGAGCCCTAACACACTGGAATTCTCTTCCTACACCTCTCTTTTTCTCTCATCCTTTAAGATGCTCCTTAAAACCAACTTATTGGTCACCTGTCCCAGTGCATCCTCAGTTTTGATGAACTGTCATTAATCTGACGCTCACGGTAACAGGATCATTGGTGATATCAGGGTAGGCGCGCAGGTGAACTGAGGGTATAGGTGAGGGAAGTTTTGATTTGATTTATTATTGTCACATGTACCTAGAGACAGTGAAAAGTTTTGTTTTGCATGCAGTACTGGCAGATCATACCATACAAAGTGCAAAAGGGTAACAGAACAGAGCGAGGAATACAATGTTACAGAGAAGGTGCACAAAGAGCGAGGTCAACATTAAATTTAAAACTGGAGCAGAGTTTAATGCAGCGCAGACAGAAGATCGCGGGTGTGATCACCTTGGGTTATTTTTAACAGTGGCTTTTCCAATCATGGGAGAAGTCAGTTGCAGGAACACTACTTTGTCAATGTGACTCTTACCCAGTGCGTAGATCTTGCCCCGATAAGCAGTTGCTCCCATCGCACTCCGACCATGCTTCATGCTGGCAACATTTTCCCATTTATCGGTTTCTATGCTGTACCTCTCAACTGAGGAAAACTGTTCCCTTCCATTGTAACCACCAGCAACGTAGATATAATTGTTTAATGCAACAACACCTGGGGAGTCACCAACACATACCATACCATCAGAGAGAGAGAAAAAGGTGTGGATTTATGGAGAGATAGTACATTATAGAATCCCTATAGCATGAAAGCAGGCCATTCAGTCCAAACTGATCCTTCAAAGGACATCCCACCCAGACCCACCCCACTACCCTCTATTTTCCACAGCTAATCTAGCTAGCCTGCATATATCTGATCACTATTAGGCAATTTAGCATGGCCAAATCACCTAACCTGCATTTCTTCAGACTGTGGGAGGAAACCCACACAGACACAGGGAGAATGTGCAAACTCCACACAGACAGTCATCGAAGGCTGGAATCAAACCAGTGTCCCTGGCACTGTGAGGCAGCAGTGCTAACCACTGAGCCACAGTGCTGCCCTAGCAAAACATCAACCCTGAGAAACTCATAACCTTCTCCCATGGTAACCCACACCTCAAATTCTGTTTTACAACATGACTGTGAAGTACCTTGGGAGACTATTTTACATCAGTGAATCTAAAGTGCAAGCTGTTGTTGATTTAACGGAATTTTAAAATTATGAATTTACAGGACAGAGTAGACAGAAACAGATACATTCTTGTGATTATGGGATCTAAAATAGAGCAAATGTCAACATAAGATGAAAGTGATTCATTTTGGAAAGTCAAATTTGAATGTAGAATACAGGGTTAATGGCAGGATTCTCGGCAGTGGGGAGGAACAGAGGGATCTTGGGGTCCATGTCCATAGATCCCTCAAAGTTGCTACCCAAGTTGATAGGGTTGTAAAGAAGGCGTATGGTGTATTGGCTTTCATTGGCAGGGGAATTGAGTTTAAGAGCCATGAGGTTATGCTGCAGCTCTATAAAACTCTGGTTAGACCACACTTGGAATATTGTGTTCAGTTTTGGTCACCTCATTATAGGAAAGATGTGGAAACTTTAGAAAGGGTGCAGAGGAGATTTACCAGGATGCTGCCTGGACTGGAGGTTGGTCTCATGAGGAAAGGTTGAGAGAACCAGGGCTTTTTTCATTGGAGCGAAGAAGGATGAGAGGTGACTTGATAGAGGTGTACAAGATGATGAGAGGCATAGATAGAATGGATAGTCAGAGACTTTTTCCCAGGGCAGAAATGACTATTACGAGGGGGCATAATTTTAAGGTGATTGGAGGAAGGTATAGGGGAGATGTCAGAGGTAGGTTCTTCACACAGAGAGTGGTGTGCGTGTGGAATGCGCTGCCGGCAGTGGTAGTGGAGTCAGATACTTTAGAGACTTTTAAGCGACTCTTGGGTAGGCACATGGAGGATAGTAAAATGTAGGGTATGCAGAGTAGATTGACCTTAGTAGGACAATTGGTTGGCACAACATCATGGGCCGAAGGGCCTGTATTATGTTGTACTGTTCGACGTTCTTAAATGCATCTATGATCACAGAAACAAGAAGAAGCCACACTGCCCCTTGACCCTGTTCCTCAATGCAAAAAGACTATGATCTCTATGGTCAAACCCACTATCCTACCTCATACCCATTATTCCTTTAGCCAAAACAAATTAGCAATCTCATCAGGAAATTCCCGATTGACCCCAGTATCCAGTGCTTGTTGGGAGAGAGAGAGAGAGTTCCTCTGAGTGGGGAAGTGCTTTCTGATTTCATTCCACAAGGCCAGACTCAGATTTTAAGATTCTGCCCCTTTTTCTAGACTCTTCCCAAAGGAAACAGTTTCTCTTATCGATCCAGTCACAGAATTATTACCATGCAGTAGGTGGTCATTAGGCCCAGTGAGCCTGCAACCCTCACAATTAGATCCAGCCTTTTATCATCTCCATCCAAGGGAATACAAGGTCAGTCTGTACAACCTGTTCTCATAGTTTAAAGGGTTAAATTCTCGGATCCTCCTGATGAATCTAAGCTGCTTCCTCTCCAAGGTCAGGATCTACCCCCTATGCCAAGGAATGGGGTTCAAAACTGAACCAGTTACTTGGGACGAGGTCTGACCAGAGTTTTATCAAAGCATTTAATGTCCACTGCTTTACATTTCAATCCCCTTGAAATAAAGGCCAACTTTTCATTCACTCTTTGGATTGACTTCTGTATCTGTCTGAAGAGTCAGCTCCTTTGTCAAAGGTAGGTGGGGATAGGAAAATAAAACTTAATAGGAGGAAGCTGTCCTTCAATCCCCCCAGTATTCTATTAAAGTAAAAACAAAAAGTGCCAGGAAAATTTCAGCAGGTCAGACAGCATCTGTAGAGGAAAAATAGAGTTAATGTGAATAAAGGTCATTGACTCAAAACATTAAATCTGTTTCTCTCCCGTCAGACATTGCTGAGCTTTTCCGGCATCTTGTTATTTTTATTACAGGTTTCCAGCATCCGCAGTTTTTCTGTGTTTTTGAGTTGGTACAGTCTCAGAGACCTCACCTGCTCCACTGCGAGGGGATCCCATTGGAGAGATCAAACTCCATTCATCCTTCTCAGGCCGATAACACTCCACACTATTCAAACGGTTCTTTCCATCAAATCCACCAATCACATACAAGAGTCCATTCCATACTGCCACCCCAGCACCAATACGACACACCCTCATTGGAGCTATGGATGTCCACTTGTTTGTTTCCGGGTCATATCTACAAACAAGATAGTGACAGAATATAAACTCAACAGAAAGACTCTTCTCACCCATAATATTTCCCAATGACTCCCACAGCCTCAATTCCTCATGCCACAATCCTCCACCTCTGGGAAGTCCTGCTTATCAATGGAGTTTGTGATCTGGAAGGGAGACAGTTGCTGGAGTTACACTTGCCAGTGTCTTCATTTCCCAAGCGTTAAGTCTAGGCAGCAGCTTCTATCAGGCTAGTCAACTGCAGAGTCATCACAGATACATCTTCACCTGAGGCCCAAATGTATGTATCTTCCAGACAAGGTGGTGGGGATGAACCCTCTTCTCCATTGTTTACTCAATTCCAGCTTCCTCAGATGAGGCCTGCTTTCACAAAGTAGATGGAACCAGGAACTATCTGGTCAAGAAACATAGAAACAGCAGGAGTCCATTCAACCCCTCAAGTCTGTTCCACCTTCTAATTAGACAACAGCTGATCTTCCCATAATACATTTACCTAACAGAACTTATCAACCACAGTCTTGCAATTTCCATTTGTCCCTCCAGTCCCAACAGCTCATCGGAGAAGAGTTCCAGATTTTCACCCCCTCCCACCTGAGTGTGGGGGCATCACCCTGAACAGCCTGACTCAAATTATAGAGTTCTGCCCTGTTTCCCTTCCCAACAGAGGAAATAGTTTATTCCTACCAGCCCTGTTAAATCCTTAAATCTCTTTAAGCACTTCAGATATATCAGCATTTAAACTTCTAAACTCAAGGGAATATTACCTAGTTTGTGTAATTTAGACTCATGATTTATCCTTTTGTTTGATATCATTCTGGTGAATCTGTTGCCCCTCCAACCCCAATATTTCCCTCTTGAGGTCGTGGGTCCAGAATGAACTTAGCCCAGAGTAGGGTCTGACACAACCTCTACACAACTACAGCAAAACTTCCAACCTTTCATATTGCAGTTACTTCCACATAAATCCCAACATTTCATTAAACTATTTAATTGTTCATAAAAACCTTTAGCTTTTTGTCTTTGCTGTACTTTGAACCCTACATCTCCTGTTCTTCCACAGTTCCGAGCTCTCACATATAGAAAACACTGATTTATTTCTTGTCATGGGACATACTTTGTGTCAAATAACTATTTTAATTCATGGGCGGGAAGCCTGAAGTGACTTTTGAAAAACAGTTGCTTTCTGAAACTCAGACTAAAGGTGACACAAAAGATGGATAGCCTAATTTGCATTACTGTACATAACACATTCCAATCTTTAGAACTGAGACAGCAAGTCTGCAAAATATCTGCATTGTCCCTAAAGGCAGTGATGTTCTGGGCGATGTGACGAATCCATATCTCCTGTGCCAATATCATGACCTTAAGACAGATATTGACACCCCGTTAAACCTATGTACTTGGATAATGGGAGCTGAGCTAAGAGAGTTATCCAGACATTATCTAATTATGTTGCCTTTGGAATAGTCTAACAATGACATTATTTGCAACCCCTGGGCAGCCGGAGAGAAGAGGGCAAATTATAAAACAAACCTTTGTAGGTTCATGCAGGTGTTTCTCTACTGAATGGAGGACAAGCAGGTGCTGTGGAGACAGTGTCAATGTCATTTGCATTACCAATGTGTAACCCCAGGCTAATGTTCTACAGACATGGTTTCAAATTACTCCACAGCAATTGGAGAAATATGAATTCAATAAAAATCTAGAATTAAAAAGCTGTACAATAGGGATCATGGAACCATTGTCAATTGTTGTAAAAACAGGAAGGAAGTCTACTGTCCTTACCTCATCTGGTATTCATGTGACTCCAGACCCATTCTTCAGCGTGGGCCTGGCCTGTGATACCCACAACCCATTGTGGAAATTTTTTAAATGCTGAAATAAAAAACCCAAGTGGGGTCCTTGATGTCTCCTTCTCTCTGCCCCATTCATTTTGCAAACTTCAAAACCTGCGTGCGTGCGTGTGCAGAAATGTACATATTTTACTGAGACGAGTCTTACTATAATACAACTAACTTTGTTAAACTGAAGAAAATTCATTGTTTCCTTTCTGATCACAGCGAACAGTTAAGGGATCATAACACTCAAGGCTATGGGTCTAGCGCAGGAAAGTGGGACGTGTGTATTTTTGCAGTACAGACTCGATAGGCCAAAGGGCATCTTCTGTACTGTGTGATTCCTCGAAGTGAAGTGTATCTCTGTTACCATCCACATTGTGCATTGTGTTGCCCTGGGTCACTTGTTGCACTCACACTGCCTCAGACATGAGCACATCTCCACCAACCAGTCCAGAGAGGGACCCCCACCCCCCTCCAACCCCCCGGCCGCTCACTCACTTCTCCGCGCTGCGATGGTGAATCGATCCGCAGGAACCTCCAACGGCGTAAATGACTCCATCGATTGCCCCGACCCCCACCCGGTTCCTGGGCACGATCATCGGTGCTCGGTGGCTCCACTGATTGGTCATTGGGTTGTAACAGTCCAGTGCCCCCGAGTCCACGTTCTCGCCCTGAGAGTTATTCCTGCCGCCCACTGTATAAAACAGCCCCAGTACCACACATGAGCCTGTCCCACTGCGGGCTACTGGCATATCGGCCAACCTCAACCAGCGGCCCGTGCGGGGGCTAAATGCTTCCATGTTTGGGAGGGGCCGGTGCAGATAGCCCCCGGCCACATACAGCAGCTGGTTCCCCCGCTGCCTGACCGGGGGCAGGGGCCTACGGAGGTACATCTCCTGGAAAATCTTGGAAAGCCAGTCCCGGCACGAGTTGACCTTGTCTAGGATCGGGCATTCCTGCAGCTGGTGCTTCAGGAAGCGGAGGGGCAGAGCGTAGATCTGGAGGGCATTGAGGAGGGCATGGAAATACTGGGTGCGACCCTCCAAGTCCCAGCGCACCCATTCGGTACACGCCTTATACACATCCGACTCACACAGCACATTCAGTCCATCCTGACTGATAAGGTCCAGGAGCTGACAGTGAGTCAGATTAAAGAACTCCTCCTCTTTGGTCACCTGGTGAAAACAAACCACATTCACATGGAGTCAGAGAGAACGGAGGGTGGAGGGAGAGACAGGCAGCGGAGACAGAGGAAAGGCAGGGTCACAGTCATAGTCAACACAGCGTGGGGCTGGGGGAACACAGCAGCTCCAAACCCGAAGTGTCAGCTTTCTTGCTCCTCTGATGCTGCCTGTGTTCCTCCAGCTCCACACTGTGATCTCTGACTCCAGAATCTGCAGTTCTTGCAATTTCCGAGGGTCACAGTGAAAATGAGACGGTGGCTAAAGATAGTGAGTGAATGAAAAACAGAGACAGATACGACAGAGAGAGAGAAGTAGAGAGTGTGCGAAAAAGAGAGAGAGAGCGCGAGATGGAAAGAGAGGAGAGAGTGAGGGACGGGGGAGAGAGAGAGAGCGCATCTTATATTGTGTACAGTGTATGGACTTTCAAAAGTCATTATAGACTTGTTAATAACATTGAAGGCCATGGATTATAGGTCATTGGTTGCATGAATACGAAGTCTGTTAAGGGATAGAAAACAGAGATTAGTGGGTCACTAGGACTTTAAACTAGTGAGTTGGGGGGAAGAGAAAGGGAAATAAAAGGGTAAGCAGCAGGTTAGCATGTGTGCAGGAGGGTTTAAATTCAAGGCAGACTATGAAAGAAGCAAAAAGGAAGGATAACTCAGGAGATATTATTAGAGATGTTGGAAATCATGAGGGTAAGAAAGCTAGCATAAAGGCACTTTACCTGAATGCTCGTAGCATTCGTAACAAGGTTGATGAGTTAACGGCACAAATCATCGCGAATGAATATGATTTGGTAGCCATTACGGAGACATGGTTACAGGATGGTCACGACTGGGAGTTAAATATCCAAGGGTACCAGACTATTCGGAAGGACAGACAGGAAGGTAAGGGAGGTGGTGTAGCTCTGATATTCAAGGACGACATCAGGGTGGTGCTGAGAGATGATATAGGTTCTATGGAGAATGAGGTTGAATCCATTTGGGTGGAAATTAGAAATTATAAGAGGAAAAAGTCACTGATAGGCGTAGTCTATAGGCCACCAAATAATAACATCACATTGGGGCGGGCAAGAAACAAAGAAATAACTAATGCCCGTAAAAATGGTACGGCAATTATCATGGGGGATTTTAATCTACATGTAGATTGGTCGAACCAGCTCGGTCAGGGTAGCCATGAGGAGGAGTTCGTTGAGTGTATCTGTGATAGTTTTCTTGAACAGTATGTAATAGAACCGACGAGGGAGCAAGCTATCCTAGATCTGGTCCTGTGTAACGAGACAGGAATAATTAATGATCTCATAGTTAGGGATCCTCTTGGAAGGAGCGATCACAGTATGGTTGAATTTAGAATACAGATGGAGAGTGTGAAGATAAAATCCAATACCAGGGTCCTGTGCTTGAACAAGGGGAACTACAATAGAATGAGGGAGGACTTGGCTAAAGTAGACTGGAAACAAAGATTTTATGGTGGGACAGTTGACGAGCAGTGGAGGACGTTCAAAGCAATTTTTCAAAGTGCTCAGCAAAAGTATATTCCAGTGAAAAGGAAGGACTATAAGAAAAGGGGTAATCTGCCATGGGTGTCTAAAGAAATAAGGGAGGCTATCAAATTGAAAGAGAAGGCATACAAAGTGGCCAAAAACAGCATGAAACTAGAAGATTGGGAAAACTTTAAAGGTCAACAGAAAGCCACAAAAAGAGCTATAAAGAAAAGTAAGATAGAACATGAGAAAAAACTAGCACAGAATATAAAGACAGATAGGAAAAGTTTCTATAAATATATAAAACGAAAAGGAGTGGCTAAAGTAAACGTTGGCCCTTTAGAGCATGAGAAGGGGAATTTAGTTATGGGATATGATGAAATGGCCGAGGCACTGAACAGGTATTTTGTATCGGTCTTCACAGTGGAGGACACTAATAACATGCCAGTAATTGACAAAGAGACGAAGGTAGGTGAGGACCTGGAAACAATCATTATTACGGAAGAGGTAGTGTTGGGCAAGCTAATGGAGCTAAGAATTGATAAGTCTCCTGGCCCTGATGGAATGCATCCCAGGATACTAAAAGAGATGGCGGGAGAAATAGCATGTGCACTGGCGGTAATTTTCCAAAATTCGCTGGACTCTGGGGCAGTCCCAGCAGATTGGAAAACAGCAAATGTGACACCACTGTTTAAAAAGGGAAGTAGACAAAAGATGGGGAATTATAGACCAGTTAGCTTGACCTCTGTAGTGGGGAAGATGCTTGAGTCTATTATCAAGGAAGAAATAGCAAAGCATCTTGATAGAAATTGTCCCGTTGGGCAGACGCAGCATGGGTTCATGAAGGGCAGGTCATGCTTGACAAATCTTTTGGAATTCTATGAAGACATTACGAGCAAGGTGGACAATGGGGACCCAGTGGATGTGGTGTACCTAGATTTCCAAAAGGCCTTCGACAAGGTGCCGCACAAGAGGCTACTGCATAAGATAAGGATGCATGGCGTTAAGGGTAAAGTATTAGCATGGATAGAGGATTGGTTGACTAACAGGAAGCAAAGAGTGGGGATAAATGAGTGCTATTCTAGTGGTGTGCCTCAGGGATCGGTGTTGGGACCGCAATTATTTACAATTTATATAGATGATTTGGAGTTGGGGACCACGTGTAGGGTGTCAAAGTTTGCAGATGACACTAAGATGAGTGGCAAAGCAAAGTGTGCAGAGGACTGTGAAACTTTGCAGAGGAACATAGATACATTGAGTGAGTGGGCAAAGGTCTGGCAGATGGAATACAATGTAAATAAATGTGAAGTCATACATTTTGGTAGGAGTAATAGTAAAAAGGATTATTACTTGAATGGTAAAAAGTTGCAGCATGCTGCTATGCAGAGGGACCTGGGTGTCCTTGTGCATGAATCACAGAAGGTAGGTCTGCAGGTACAACAAGTAATTAGGAAGGCAAATGGAATTTTGTCCTTCCTTGCTAAAGGGATTGAGTTTAAAAGCAGAGAGGTTATGTTGCAGCTGTACAAGGTGCTGGTGAGGCCACACCTGGAGTACTGTGTGCAGTTTTGGTCTCCTTACTTGAGAAAGGATGTACTGGCACTGGAGAGGGTGCAAAGGAGGTTCACTAGGTTGATTCTGGAGTTGAGGGGGTTGGCTTACGAGGAGAGATTGAGTAGATTGGGATTATATTCATTGGAATTCAGAAGATTGAGGGGGGATCTTATAGAAACATATAAAATTATGAAGAGAATAGATAAGGTAGAAGTAGAGAGGACGTTTCCACTGGCAGGTGAAGCTAGGACAAGAGGGCACAGCCTCAAGATTACAGGGAGCAGATTTAGGACTGAATTGAGAAGGAACTTCTTCACCCAGAGGGTTGTTAATCTATGGAATTCCTTGCCCAGTGAAGTAGTTGACGCTACTTCAGTAAACGTTTTTAAAGATAAGGTAGATTTTTTTTGAACAATAAAGGAATTAAGGGATACGGTGAGAACGCGGGTAAGTGGATCTGAGTCCACGAAAAGATCAGGCATGATCTTATTGAATGGCGGAGCAGGCTCGAAGGGCCAGACGGCCTACTCCTAGTTCTTATGTTCTTGGGAGAGATAACACAGTGTGGAGCTGGAGGAAAACAGCAGGCCAGGGGGCTTCAGAGGAGCAGGAAAGCTGACGTTTCAGGTCAGGACCCTTCGTCAGATTTCTAAACCTTCCTGCTCCTCTGATGCTGCCTGACCTGCTATGTTCCTATGGCTCCCACTGAGCTGTGGGAAGTATGTATGAGATGGATTCCCCCTGGGCTTACCTCAGTGAAATGAATATTGATATATTCCTTCCCTCTCTGGCGTAGCTCAGTGCAGCCAATCTGTTCAGCAAAATGGTAAATGCCGATAGCATTAGCAGAGTCCAGGTTCTTGATGAGGAAATCACAGCAAGCGTTGATCACCCCCTCCACCTGGTACATGGTGCTGGCCAGCAGCATCTGTAGGACACACTGTTCACCCACTGAGACCCGCGAGGTGTATGCAAACTCAATCAGCCTCTCCATTACCATGGGGTGAATGCCCTGGATCTTGACCTCAGGAGCCTGGTGTTCCCGCAGGCTGCTCGTGAACATGGCCTTGAAGACAGGGCTGGAGGCAGCCAGGACAATCCGATGGGCAGCAAATGTCTGCTCCTTCCCACCATGGCTCACTCGCACTGTCACATCACACATCTGTCTGTCTTGTCTCAGCTCCTGCATGATGCTCAAAGCCCGCGATGGGTGACTTTCCACAGTATAATCCAGGTAGCCGTGACCTCTCAGCGACGGGACAACAACCGGCGGACGGTTAGCTTTCTTCTTGGAGCAGAACATTATTCTGAGGAGCTCCTGCTCTCCCTGTCCTGAGGCTGGTTTGTGGCTGGGTGAGGGGTTCCACTTCCAGGTGACCGATCACAAGCTCACGTCACCATCCTGTTAGTGAACCCACTCCTGGCCCCTCCATCCTCATCCCTCTCTCAGCCTCACCCTCTCCAATTCACTGCTTTTCAGACATCCTTCTCTCGGTTTCCTGTACAGACTATCTCCCTGAGACTGAACAGGAGGGTGGAGAAAGGACACTATTTTCAGGATGATGGGACCAGTCCCTCAGGGCCCAGCAACTGCACCTCGACTGATCATTTAAGGCTCAAAAACTCAGTTCCAGACTTACATTTCGACCAACGCTAGTTTTAGCCAATAGTCTTATATTCTTTCATTCCCTCTCCCAAATTGTACAGTCTGTGGAATTGTCCCACTGTTTAAAATGATGCCAATGTTTGAGGAGGAATTGCAGTGAGCTGCCTGTCCTATTGTGGCTGTGAATCAGATGGTCACACTCTCCAGGCAGGGGAAGGTCTCACCAACTGAGGTCAGTTCCAGGCCAGACACTAATGACCAGCAAAATCTTCCACGTGTGATGCTGCAGACAGAGTTAAGGACATCAGCATCAATAGGACCATAACATCTCACACACAGACACTCAGTCCTCTGATACACAAACACACACCAGCATCACATTGCCACTGAAATTCATACATCATTGTCAGCTGAGATCTTAAACTGGGCTTTGTAGTGTGGTGCTCCAGTGTGTATTGGAAGCTACCAAGGGGCAGCACGGTGGCTCAGTGGCTAGCACTGCTGCCTCACAGCGCCAGAGACTGGGATTCGATTCCAGCCTCGGGTGACTGTCTATGTGGAGTTTGCACGTTCTCCCCATGTCTGCGTGGGTTTCCTCCGGGTGCTCCAGTTTCCTCCCACAGTCCAAAGATGTGCAGGTTAGGTGGATTGGCCATGCTAAATTGCCCATAGCGTTCAGGAATGTTTAGGCTAGTTGGGTTAGACATGGGAAATTAGGGGAATGGGTCTGGGTGGGATGCCCTTCGGAGGGGCGGTGTAGACCTGTTGGGCCAAATGGCCTGTTTCCACTCTGTAGGGGTTCTATGTTCTATGGTTCTACCTACAGTGGCACTCTGTTCTTTTCACACAAATAATAACACACTGCCTATTTCAATTCAAAATAAACAGTTCACAGCCATTCTCTACTTCATTTCATAAGTCAATGCTTTGAGCAGAGTGCAAACGCCTGGTTAAATTTAAGCAAAGCCTGATGATTAACTGTCAGTCATCATCTATTTGGTGTAACCTCCATGGCAACATTTCTACCAGAATTCACTTGCCAACCAACCAATCAGTATTCCCTTTTACAACGATATTCTTGTGAATTGATCTGATGAGTACAAGATGAAAAGCTTCAACAAGATGTGTACTTTTTGAGAAAACCTCAAGTTCTGTATTTCTAAACAACTATAATGTGTGCTAATGAGAAGAGACAGGGACTCTGTTTAAGGTTGCATCAGAAAGATGGCACCTCCAGTCCTACAACGACACCATGCACAACCTGGCATTTCCTCAACCAAGCTGATACCATGGGCATTACATGGAGCGGACTGTGATAGGGTTAGGGTGGGGGTTAGGGCAGCCTTTAGCCAAAGGCACAAACTGTTCTGACACATGAACAGGTGTTCCTAATCTCTGGCCATCCTGATAACTTAGATTAAAAACCTGCTTTACATTTGTCAACACAAAAGAGCAATAAAGTAACAACATTTGAATGGACGTGCACATCTCATCCTGGAGATACTACAATAAATATTTTCAACTGGAAGACACAAGCCTCTCCCTCCCTATTCATCCTTTCACATTGCTAAGGTCACATGTCTACGCAATAAACTGAAATGACTGCATTTTTGATTAGTCACTGCCTGTCAGCAACAATGGATTGCACACGAGTTAACTCTTTCAACTCTACATCGGAGTGTGAGCAAACATTGATGTAAAAATTTGAGACTGGGTAAGGCAGGGCCATTCTCATCAGGACAGTTCAGGCTAGGACAATAGATCGTAACCGTCCCAGGGCAACAGCTCCAACCAAATGACTCTCACTGGGGTACGGGCTCCCACACCATACACGCACACACACAGGGGTACAGATCTCTCTCCCTGATACACACACAGGGGTACGGCTCTTCCCATCACCAGCCCCCAACACATACACGCACAGAGGTATGGCTCTCCCCCCCCCCCCCCCCCCCACACACACACACACACACACACAGGGGTACGGCTCTCTCTCTCTCTCACACACACACAGAGAGGTGCGGCTCTCTCGCCCACACACACACACATACAGACAGGGATATAGCTCTCTCTCACACACACACACATATGTACACGGGGGTACAGGTCTCTCTCTCACACCCACAAACACACGCAGACACACACACACACATACAGAGGTATGCCTCTCTCTCTCACACACGCACAGGGGTACGGCTCTCTCACGCAGACAGACACACGCACGCACAGGGGTACAGCTCTCTGTCTCACATACACACACACACACACATCCATAGGGGTATGGATCTCTCTCTCACACACACACAACACACACCACATACAGACTCTCACTGGGGTACGGGGACCCACACACACATTGACACTGACTGGGGTACACAGTCCCACAGACACACACTGACTCTCACTGGGGGACAGGTCTCTCATTCCAGATATCTGTGCAGATGATCTAGGCTGAAACCCCGGTGCACCAGAGAGTATGGGCAGAGCTGTGGGAGGTTTTATCTTGCAGTGAGACAAGATCCCATCTGCTTTCTCAGATAACTGAAAATATATTGGACTTAGAGCAGGGAAAGTTCACGTTGGTGTCCTGGGGTCATATGTGTCCCACAAAGAACATCATTGAAGCTGATGATGCAGACATTATCACAATGGGATCTTGTTGTGTGCAAACTGACTTGCTTTTCCTGCAGTGTAACAGTGTCTACCCTTGAACCAATACTGTCTTGGCTGTGAAACACTTTGAGACACTGTATAAAGGCAAGATTTTACTTTGTAAAGCAGAATAATGGCCAATTAACAAACATTTGGTACCAGTTAATGAAAGAGTTGATTAAAGAACTGTACCTTTTAACTTCAACAGAAATAGCTGGAGAATCTCTGGCAGTCTCTGTGGAGGGAGAAAACAGAGTTAATGTTTCAAGTCCGGTGTCTCTGATGAAGTGTTGTGGAGTCATAGAGATGTACGGTATGGAAACAGACCCTTCGGTCCAACTTGTCCATGCCAACCAGATATCCTATATAAATCTAGGCCTATTTGCCAGCATTTCAAACCAGGCTTGAAACATTAACTCTGTTTCTCTCTCCCCAGAGGCTGCCAGATTGCTGAGTTGCTCAAGCTATTTCTGTTTCAGATTTCCAGTATCTGCAGTTCTTTGTTTCATCTTTCAATATCCTTTGGTTTTCATTTTGGATCTGCCGATAAGATTGCTGCCCAATGTTTCTGACGTCAGCGTTATATTCCTGTCAACTGAATTCCCTTTTCTCATCATATCTGCTGTGATTAGTCCACACGTGGACTCACCAAAAAGTGTCAAGTGTTACTCCCACCTCCCTAGGAGTAACATTTTGAAATCTTGATCTCGACTTTCTGCAATGCACACAACTGACTGAAACATCTGGGGTATAAAAGCAATGGGCATTAAGTATAATATTCTTCATTTAGGATTTGCTGTTAATTGGTAAAAGAATTAGAGAATAATAAGCCAATCTGAGAAATCAGTGTGGAATCTGCTTTAACAGTTTGAGACTTCCTCAAACTAAGAGGCTCCTGAGTGACAATCTGTACTGACAACACAGAACACAAACTCAGATTATCCCAAATCACTTTACACTTAAAAACATTATTTTACTGGCCATAGTTACTGTTGTAATTATGGGAATGCAGTGGTCAGTGTGTGCATAGCATGCTCCTACAAATAACACTATGATAATGACCACAGAATTGATTTCAGTGACATTGGTTGAGGATTTGTCCTTTTTTTGGCCAATTAACACAGATTAGCTCCATTGCTTTTCAAAATAGCATATGTAACACCTTCATTGACCAGCCGAGAGGGCAGACAAACGGGGCTTCATTTTAACATTCCAATCAAAACCTCTGACAGTACTCTGTCATTATAAGCAGACAAAAAACACAATGTTGGGATTTTGACGAAAGTTCAGTGACTTGAAGCATCATTGCCTATCCTCTTTTCACAGACACTGTCTGAACTGGTGAGTATTTCCAGCTTTTCTGTTTTGATTTACACACAGATTTCATTTCTGTGTCTCTCCCCTGGATTTCTCCAAGTTCACTTTTTCTCTCATTTCTAGTTCTGTCTCTCCCATGTAACCAGCTCTTTCCCATTCCATTACAGTGATTAATTCTCTCACTCTCTCCCAAGCATTTATCAAGTGAAACCAGTGTTGGATAGAGTTCCTTGAGTGTAATTTTAACTGTCAGTTCCTGGAACACAATGCTACATGACAGAGTGAATAGAGGGGTGAAGGAGCAGGTGGTGAGCTCAGGTCATCAGGCAGTGGGGTAAGACACTGGAACCAAATCTTTATACAAGCTTTAGTTTACAGAAATGCTCATTTCAAATCGTGTATCTCAAGATTCAACAACTGCAGTTTCAGTCTTCTATATAAACTTATTTTTAAAATCATCCTGTTGATCCAGCTATGGGCTGGTGAGACTTTAACTCAGACTTTTTGGCCCAAGGGTAAGGACACTGCCACCATACCCCAAGGTTCTACATCTCCTCCTATATGTACATGACTGAGGTGAACCCCCAGTTAATGCCCATCACTTGAATACAATTCTACAGAGAGGGACTGAGACAGGGGAGTGGGGAGGGGGAGTGAGGATGATCTTTAGATAATGAGCCCAGGTGGGGGTGGATCTTTCAGGAACAGTTCCAAATCCATCCCCAGTATCTGTTCACGAGCAGTGAACTGACAAGGATTGGCTGTTACAACAGTGGAGTACAATGGCCGAGGCCAGTTCCCAGTTTTTAAAATGTTTTAATTTTAAATTTCAATTTTTTTCAGTCTCAACAATGTATTTGGAGAAAAAGGAGAAGAGAGTGACAGAACGAACTGATGTTGTCTATATGGCTAAAAAAAACTGAAAGAACTGCGGATGCAGGAACAAAAACAGAAGTTGCTGG